GTTGATTACCTACTTATTTCATGCACTATCATCATTTCAGTTAAATAATGGACCATTCCATTTTGACTAATGGTAGAAAAAATATCAAAGACAATGTGATTAGTGAAAGATATTTAAAATGTGCTTCAGTAAAGTAGAAAACTTTGTCAATTTTCATTCTTTTCATTTGTACCCTCTTATTTCATTAAATAATGACGTTCACTCATACTGTTATTATAATATTTTGTTAAAGTTGTTAAGTTAATATTTTACAATGCAATAGGAGAATTTTCACATATACTTTATATTATACATACTACACGGATAAGAAAATAGATGTGAAATAGAAAACCTTGTCAATTTTCATTTGTACCCTCTTACTTCTTTAAATAATGACCTTCATTCATATTTATGATTGCTATTGCAATACTTAAAGTTGTATCTGTCTATATTTCTGAGATGAGGTAAATTAACTATTTACATTGTTCAGACTGTTGTCCTCATCTTTATTGTCATATTCATTGATTTTGGATGATCCTCAGGTGATATATGTTGGAATTTCAAGTCAAACCATTTACTTCGTCTAATGGGTATATATCCAGAAAAGGCATGGCATGTGGAACTAGAACAATCTACCTTGGTGGACGAAATAAAGGGTTCTGCTCAAAATTCTAATCACCTGAAGAAGGGTGGAGTTTACAACAACTGAAACATTGTGAATGTCACAATAAAGATGAGGACAACAATCTGAACAATATAAATAGTTAAAGTTGTTAAACTCAGATATTTAACAATGCAATAGGTGAATTTTCCTTGAGTATTTTATAATCGTGGAACTTGTAAGGAGTTTATTCAATCAGTAAATTAGGAATTATGATTCAAAATTTAAATAGGAAAACTGGAATGTTTATGGGTCTGAAATATTCTTATTTTGGCTGCTGTCTTTTTATCATAGATCAACATAACCTGGTGATGTCACCAATATGAACTTTATTGATTTAATTTTAAAAAAACTATCAAATATATCCCATTGTGCCTCAAGAATGGTGCAGTTCAGTTCTTTAAAAATTCTTTGAGTGTAATTTCTTTGAGCTACTCATCAAACATCTCCCATCACAAGTGTAAAAATAAGAGATAAAGGCTGTCTTAAATAAAGGTAATGACATTAATTTAAAAATTAAAGCAATTAATGCTTAGGAAGAGGTTACTAAGTTTAGTCTTGATAAAAGAGATATATCTCTTAATTCAGATAGTAAGGAGGGAAAGGTATTTTGTAATTATATTTGATAAATTATTGAAGAGACCTCAAAAAAAGCAGTGTTTCACTGAATATGCACACACACATATTATATATATATATATATATATATATATATATATATATATATATATATATATATTTTTTAAAAAATTAATGGATTTATTTTAATCTAGTATTTTATTACTTTAAACATTATTTTATTGGATACTTTATATTTGAAACAGATGCCTCATTTTTATTTATTAAGCAGTGTATATTATATCTAACACTATTAAAAAATAACAAAACATGAACTTTGGACAATTTACATAATCCAGACTGTTATCCTCATCTTCATTGCCATATTCACAACATTTCAGCTGTTATACGCAAAATGAAGGCTGGAGTGTACAATGGCCAAAACATTGTGAATATAGCAATGAAGATGAGGATAACAGTCTGAATAATGTAAGTAATCATAATACCTCATCACAGAGATATAGACAGGTTTTTGGCAATTTATACACAATTTTGAACCTGATGTGCAACAAATTATTTGATAATTGGGAGAAAACATCTTCTCAGTTGAATTTAATGTTTTATTAAAACATTGGATTTTTGCTGCCTGTTTGGTTTGGCCAAAAGGTTTGCTTGTCTATTAAGTTGAAAATTTACTTAATAAACCTAACAAACTTTTTGGCCAAGACAATGTATTTTTTTAAGTCCAGCATTATGTCTTATTGCTATAAACTTTATTTTTATGGGTTACATATGTTTGAGTTGCTATTCGTGTTTTTTCTTTTATTTTCTGAAGCAGAGAAAATTAATAACAAACTAAGTCAGTTGTTATTAATTTCATTATTTAAAAAAATAAAAAATAAAAACATGTATAGCAACTCAAACACATGTGTCCAATAAAAATAAAGTTTATAGTAATAAGACATATATATGTATGCACATTATTCACACAGGGATACATATGAACACACAAATGAATTGTCAGCAAATTAAATGAAGGATTTTTGAATAGGTAATTAATGCAAGCTTTGTTCTTTTATGTCCTGACAATTTTCATAAAAGTCCTTCATTGATTCACACAAAAGATTATCCATTTGTGCTTTTGTGAATAAAAATAAAGAATATTAGTGATTGCATATATATCAGTATATTTGTGTATGTGTTTTATATTGTTCAATACACAGATACAATTTATGACAATTTGCATAGACAGGGTTATATGGCTATCATTTGAATAGACAGGCTTATATGGATTTAATTTGTATAGTCAGGGTTATATGGCTATATTTTGCATAGTCAGGGTTATATAGATATAATTTGCATAGACAGGGTTATATGGCTATCATTTGCATAGACTGGCTTGTATGGCTATCATCTGTATAGACAAGGTTATATGGACATGCGTAGACAAGGTTATATGGCTATCATTTGCATAGACTGGGTCATACAGCTATCATTTGCATAGGCTGGGTTATACAGCTATCATTTGCATAGACTGGGTCATACAGCTATCATTTGCCTAGACTGGGTTATATGGATATCATTTGCCTAGACTGGGTTATATGGCTATCATTTGCATAGACTGGGTCATACGGCTATCATTTGCATAGACTGGGTCATACGGCTATCATTTTCATAGACTGGGTCATATGGCTATCATTTGCATAGACTGGGTCATACGGCTATCATTTGCATAGACTGGGTCATACAGCTATCATTTGCATAGACTGTATTATAATTAACACAGATTGTGTTATATAGTTCAATACACTAATCCAGTCTATAAAAATTTGAATAGACTGTGTTATATAGTTTGTTACACAAATTCAATCTATGACAATTTGTATCAGGATAGGCTGTGAGTATATTTATGTGATATTTTATTGGTTATTTTATAATTCTCAGATAATTAACTCGCTGAATATCAGTCTTGATAAAATGTTACAAAACTCCATAGTGAGTAATTTCTATTTGTGACAAACAGAGAGTGGAGTGCTTATTAAATACATACCCACAACATAAATTCAACGTAAATTATTTAAATTTTAAATGAGCAGAAAAAAATGTCAATAGTATGAAAGTTTTTGAAGGGTTTGGGTCATTTTTCTGGGATGGGGGTTAATTTTTTTTATTTATTTCTGTTATCAAACTGATGCCTTATATGCGTGATATTTTCCGGCTAAATGACAATAAAGTCAAGGGAGATTGGATGGAGGAATGAATGGAGATAGTGGTGCTGAGGAAGAAGAGGAATCAAAACACAGTTGCCTAAACATGGAAAAGGGGGCCTAGACTTGAAACATATAAAACATAAAAGAGAACAATGAGCACTGAAAACAGAATGTTGTTAAAAATAGATAAATAAATAAATAAAAGAAACAAAGACAATTGCATCCCCCCCACCCCCGCTTCTATTGTCCCTCATTTTTGCTGATGGATGATAATGAGGAAAAAAGATAAGAACAGACCATATCTTGAAGTGGGGGAAATGAATGTGAATTGGGGGTAAAAAAAAAAAAAGAAGAATGAAATAAGAAATGAAAAAAAGGAGAGTGGAGTGAGGGAACGAGAAGGAAAGAAAGAAAGAAGGAAAGAAAGAAAGAAGGAAAGAAAGAAAGCATGGAAGGTTTGTGTGGGGAGGGAAAAATTTAAGTAGATAGTGAAAGAAAGATGATGGTTAGGAAAGTGTGAAAGGAGGAGGAAGAGGAAGAAGAAAAAGAATCAGTTCATTATTTTTTAAAAACTTTTTATTTATTTTGCTCTTTTTTGGATACTTTTTTTTTTTATTTCGCAAGAGAAGAGAATCAATAGCAAATGAACAAGCGATGGAAAAGCAGAAAACAATGGGGCTAATGAGTGTATGAAGGCAATTCATATAAAGTGTAATGTGGAGGGAGGAGAGAATGATGATGAAAAGGAGTTGGAGGAAGGGAAGTTAGGAGGAGAAAATAGAGGGGGTGCTATGAGAAAAGGATGATAATGAGGAGGAAGACATGAATGGCAATAATGATAATGTTGATAATGATAATATTAAAGACTAAATAATGAATGAAGATGAAGATGATGGAAGCAAAGAAGAGGAGAGAATAGTGATAATGAGGGTGTAATTATAATGAGAGGAAGTGAATGCAGACAATGGAAACAATGACGATAATATGAAGAAGGATAAGGGGAAGTAATGATGGCATGAGAAAGAATAAGGGGAAGTAATGAAGATGGAAACAGGGGATAATATAAAGAAGAATAAAGGGAAGTAACAATGACTGTTGGAAGGAAAATAAGGACAAAGAGTGTGAAAAATATGCGAGAATGAGAAAGTAGTCATTCATGTATTTGAAGGAGAATGAAGAAAGAAAAATTATGAATAAAAAATAAAGCATAATCAATGGAGTCCATGTAAAAAGCACTAAAAAGAAAGGACAAACTATAAAAAAAATTAGAAAAAAAGAATGAAGAAAAGCAGAGGAAGGAAGGAATAACAAGATATCTGAATGAATTAAAGTGGGGAAAATAATAAAATCATTAGAAAGAAAAAAAAGAGAGAAGAAATGTTGAAAAATCAGTAAAGAGAACAAGACAGAGAAACTAATAAATTGAACAGGGAAAAAAATAAGTAGCATTTTGAGAAAAATAAAAAAAATAAAGATGATATAGACAGAATAGAAAGTGATGATAAGAATTTAAATAATAATTTTGGAAGGAAGTGGGAAAACAAATAAATGAGGGGAAGGAAAAGAAAGAAAGGGAGAGAGGTAAAACAAGA